CATCCACCTCCCTCTTCGCCCCGTCATCAAGCACCACCCACGCTATGTCCATCGGACCACCACCGCAAGAGAAGCTAACCAGGAGCAATTTTCTCCTGTGGAAGGCCATCGTGTTGCCTCAGATCAAAGGCGCCCAGATGCAGCACTTCCTTGAACCGACGAGCCAAGCGCCGCCGGCCACTCTCACCGTCACTAAGGACGGGAAGGAGGAACAAGTTGTCAACATGGCACGAGTCCTCTGGTCTGCTCAACAGCAGCAGCTTCAAGGGTACTTGATGGGATCCCTCTCCCGCGAGATCCTTGCCCAAGTCATCACCCTTCAGACGCCGCACGAGGTATGGGCTGCCATCCATGCCACGTTCGCAGCTCAATCCCAGGCTCAGGCGATCAACACCAGAATTGCTTTGCAAAATCTTCAGAAGGGGAACGCAAGTATGGCTGACTACCTCGCCAAAGTGAAGTCCCTCACGGACGAGATCGCATGTTCAGGCGAAAGACCTCTCTCTGATGGCGAGATCACATCACATATTCTTGCTGGACTCGACCTCGAGTACAAGCCGGTTGTCTCTGCCCTTGCTGCTCGGGTGGAGCATGTCACCGTTCCTAAACTCTACAGCCAACTCCTCTCCTTCGACGCTCGGATCAATCTACTCCATGGTCTGAACCCTCGACAGTCTTCTGCTAATTCTGTCTCTCGCGGGTGTGGAGCAGGAGGTCGCGGGCGTGGTCACCAGACGCACAGCCGCAGCAATAGCAGCAGCGGGCGCGGGCGTGGTGCCTCTCAGTACGGGCGCTCAGGTGCGGGAGGCACCAACCAGAACGGCGGAAGCGGGGGCGGCTACAACCAGTACGGCGGGGGTTCATCTTCCAACAGCCGTGGGGGCGGCCACAACCAGTACAGCGGGGGTTCCTCCTCCAACAGCCGTCGTCCTCGCTGCCAGTTATGTAAGAAGCCGGGTCATGAGGTGATGGAGTGCTGGCACAGGTTTGATGAGAACTACGTCCCAGACGAACGCCATGTAGCTGCAGCAATAAGGGAACAGGAAGAAGATGCAGGCACGGTCTGGTATGTTGATTCCGGCGCCACAGATCATGTCACCAATGAACTTGAGAAGCTCGCTCTCCGCGAGAAGTACTTCGGGAGCGATCAAATTCACACCGCAAGCGGTGGAGGTATGGACATTCATCACATAGGTCAAGCTATTATTAATTCCCCTACTTGCAAATGTGATCTTCTTTTAAAAGATGTCCTACATGTTCCACAAGCCAATAAAAATCTTGCATCCATGTCTCGTCTAAGTTCCGATAACAATGTTTTTTTTGAAACTCATCCTAAATACTTTTTTATAAAGGACCGGGCAACGAGGGAGCTCATCCACCACGGTAGATGCATTGGAGGACTCTACCCCATCACATCAAGAGTTTTTAGTTGTCTTCGTCATCGTCAAGTCTACTCCGTCGTCAAGCCCTCCTTGGCAAGATGGCATCAAAGATTAGGACATCCGTCATCGATCATAGTTAAGCAAGTAGTGAATAAAGGCAATCTTATGTTGTCCCATAGTCAAAGTGAAGAGTCTGTTTGTGATGCTTGTCAATGTGCCAAGAGTCATCAACTTCCTTATCCTAAGTCAACTAGTGTGTCTCATGCTCCTTTAGAGCTTATTTTTAGTGATGTATGGGGTCATGCAAGAGATTCTTTTGGAAGAAAGAAATATTATGTTAGTTTTATTGATGACTTTAGTAAATTCACTTGGATATATTTGCTCAAGTACAAATCTGAAGTGTTTTCTGTTTTTCAAGAGTTTCAAAAGCTTGTTGAAAGACAATTCGGCAGAAAAATCCTCACGGTCCAAAGTGACTGGGGAGGGGAGTATGAGAAACTCAACTCTTTCTTTCGAGACATAGGCATAGAACATCATGTATCATGTCCTCATGCTCATCAACAAAATGGTTCGGCTGAACGCAAACATCGTCATATTGTTGAAGTAGGTCTCTCTCTTCTTGCTCATGCATCAATGCCACTTAAATATTGGGATGAAGCTTTCATTGCTGCCACCTATCTCATAAATCGTTTGCCTAGTAAAGTGATTGGTAACACCACTCATTTAGAACAATTATTTCATCAAAAACCAGACTACAATTCTCTCAAAATCTTTGGGTGTGCTTGCTACCCCAATTTGCGTCCTTACAATCGTCACAAACTTGAGTTCCGTTCTACCCAGTGTGTCTTCATTGGTTATAGCAATCTTCATAAAGGATACAAGTGTCTTGAAATTTCAACTGGACGCATCTATATTTCTCGTGACGTTGTTTTTGATGAAACATTGTTTCCCTTTGCAAAGCTTCACCCAAATGCAGGAGCTCTACTTCGTGCTGAAATATCTCTCCTTCATGATTCTTTATCTAATCCAGATCACGGGGGTGAATTAACTAATGCTGATCATGTGATTAGTTCAAAGGAAAAAGAAAATTTTGATTCTGTTGACATATGTGCAGAAACAGGGCATCATTTTATGTGTGAAGGTACGGACAAAAGAGACAACACGGGATCCAGAGCTGTTTCTCCTAATCCCGACGCATCCTGCAGCACGAGATCCCAGGAGGATCCTGGCAACAGGCGCAACGCGTCAGCCCAGGAGGACAGCCGCAGTGTTTCAGCCCAGAAGGAGACACTGGGCGACAGCACTGGGCCCGGCAGCCCAGCCGATGTGCGCCTGCGCGGCTCGCCTCGCACCACGTGTGCGTGGGCCAGAAACCAGGAGACCAGCATGGGGCCCAGCGCCAGTTATCCGTTCCGCACGCCCGAGCGTGGATCGCCCGTCATCGAGCCATCAGATGCAGCCCTGGCAGGATCTTCTGCGACAGAATCTGATCCAGCGGGATCTTTTGCGGCAGAAACGTGTGTCACACCTGGATCCTCTGTGGCGAGTCCTGCAGCTCTACCTTCTGTACCAGAAGTTCCTCCTCGTATTACAAGGTCAAAAACCGGTGTGTTCAAACCAAAGGAATACAAGGACGGCACAATCAGGTATGACAAGATCAAACATGCGTTTCTAACCACTACCGGTGAACCTGTTCATTTAAATGATGCTCTTGCTCATGAAGAATGGAAAAATGCTATGGATGTTGAATATCATGCACTCATGGAAAATAAAACCTGGCATCTAGTACCACCAGGAAGGAGTAAAAATATAATTGATTGCAAATGGGTTTATAAGATCAAGAGAAAGTCAGATGGGAGTATAGACAGGTACAAGGCTAGATTAGTTGCTAAAGGTTTTAAGCAAAGATTTGGCATTGACTATGAAGATACCTTTAGCCCTGTTGTGAAGTCAGCTACTATCAGACTTGTGCTTTCAATTGCTGTTTTCAGAGGTTGGAGTCTACGACAGCTAGATGTTCAGAACGCGTTTCTTCATGGTGTTCTGGAGGAAGAAGTGTTCATGCGGCAACCACCAGGTTATGAAAACAAAAGCACACCAGGTTATGTGTGTAAGTTAGACAAAGCCTTATATGGATTAAAACAAGCACCAAGAGCATGGTACTCCAGGTTGAGTACACAGTTACAAAAGCTTGGGTTCACTCCATTGAAGGCAGATACCTCACTCTTTTTCTACAAAAAAGGCAACATTACTATATTTGTTCTTGTTTATGTCGATGATATAATTGTTGCCAGTTCTAGTCCAGATGCTACTACCTGCTTGCTGAAGGATCTAAAGTTGGAATTTGCCCTCAAAGATTTGGGAGATCTTCATTACTTTCTTGGTATAGAAGTCAAGCAGGTAAAAGATGGTATACTTCTTACTCAGGAAAAATATACCACTGACATACTCAGGAGAGTAGGATTGGAACATTGCAAACCTGTGAGTACACCGCTCTCAACTTCAGAAAAACTTACAGTTGAAAGTGGAGAACTACTTGGATCAGATGATGCAACAAATTACAGAAGTGTTGTAGGTGCATTACAATACTTGACTCTTACTCGTCCTGATATTTCTTATTCTGTGAATAAAGTGTGCCAATACTTGCATGCTCCTAGTACAGCTCATTGGACTGCAGTTAAGAGAATTCTGAGGTACTTGAAGTTTACAGAAGGACTTGGACTTCAGATTAACAAGTCTTCGTCTATGCTTGTTACTGCTTATTCTGATGTAGATTGGGCAGGGTGTGCTGATGATAGAAGGTCCACAGGTGGCTTTGCCGTGTTTCTGGGATCAAATCTTGTATCATGGAGTGCAAGAAAACAAGCCACTGTCTCAAGATCTAGCACTGAGGCTGAGTACAAGGCTCTAGCGAATGCTACAGCTGAAGTCATGTGGATTCAGACTTTGCTTCATGAACTCGGAATCAAGACTCCACAAGCTGCGAGGTTATGGTGTGATAATATTGGTGCTACATATCTCTCAGCTAATCCTGTGTTTCATGCAAGGACAAAACACATTGAAGTTGATTTTCACTTTGTCAGAGAAAGGGTAGCTCGCAAGCTTCTTGACATTCAGTTCATACCAACTGGAGATCAACTCGCTGATGGGTTCACGAAACCTCTTACAGCTAGAAGGTTAGATGGGTTCAAGTACAATCTCAACCTTGGTAAGATTACATAGGTTTAGATTGAGGGCGAGTGTTAGATGATAGAGATAGAATACTGTTTTAAGTTCATCTTGTGATCTATCTCCTCTTCTGTAACTTCCTGTATTCGAACTCTGTAACCTGGAACGCATCCTAGCGATAGTTCCTTTCGTGTACGCCACGGCTGGCTATCTCGCCTTCATCAATATATACACGCGGCCACCCAAGGGTGGAGATACGCTTCCCAACCAAATCTTTCAAACAGGGGTCATAGTCGATCAAATGAAAGATTAACCATGGACAAAGAACATATTTACTGCTAGACGGGAGCACAAGTTTTCAAGCGAACATTATGTGTGCCATGCCACTTCCATCCATGGCCTTCGGTTCATATACGCCCCCTTCTTTCTCAAAAGCACGTGCTGTTCCCACTAATTCTCGCAGTCACGATCCGCACACAGACTTGTCTGGCGCTCTGCATCCGGGGCCTTGTTCCGCACCTCGCCGTAGAAATAGGAAGCGAGGCCCCAGAGCGACAGCCCGAGGGCGACGCCCTTGGTGCCGCTGAAGGGTTCATGGAAGAAGACGACGGCCAGGACCTCGGTCACCGGGAGGAGCACGGTGATGATGACTCCGGCGAGCAGCGCCGAGCCGTAGTAGATGGCGCCGATTATGCCGAGGCAGAAGCACTGGTACACGGCGGCTGTGCCGACCAGCAGCATGTAGTAGCCCGCCTGGCCGAGTTCGGACTGTCGGGCTTCTCCTGGGATTGCCTGCGTCACAATGCTCAAATTTGTTATGTTATGCTCTAAATTCAAGTATAAAGAGAAATGCTAATTTTTGACGAGCGAGCGGAGTGAGGCCCGTCGCCAGTAGGCGTGGGCCAAAGCCTGTTCAGTGGATTTTCGGGTACTTTCAATGCTTGTTTAAAATTTGGCAAAACTGATGAGGGACTAGCTGGCTATGTGGATTTAAATTTTGCTTCCAGCGATTTGGACACATGTTCACAGTTTGTGATTGTGCCGTGAGTTGGAGCGCAAAGTTGCAACCAGTAGTTGCCTAGTCTACCACTGAAGCAGAATACATGACTATTGCAGAAAGCATGTAAATAATCAGTTTGGTTGAAAGGTTTGTAGTCTAAGCTTTGTGAAGATAATTCTTGCATTAACTTGTTTTATGATAGTCAGAGTGCCATATGCCCCACAAAGGATCAGATGTTCCATGAGAGAACGAAGCATATTGATGTCAAATATCATTATGTCTGAGACATTGTTGAGCAAGATAAACTGAAGTTATGCAAGATTAGCACACATGATAATCCTGCTGATATATTGATAAAGCCAGTTCCTGATGCTAAGTTTGAGCTTTGCTCAGACTTAGTTGGTATAACTCATTAGCCCTAGTGGTTGTTTGACGCCGAAGGTGTTTTCTTTGTTGTTCAGGGAGGAGGTTCTCATTCTTGCTACAAGATGGAATTTGTCTTAAGGTGGAGTTTGTTATGTTATGCTCCAAATTAAAGTATAAAGAGAAAGGCTAATTTCTGACGAGCAAGGTGCGAGGAAAAATCCCCCGCGTTTGTAACCTCTTCCGATATAGTGAAGTTTGGCTTGCTGGCGTTTCCCTTCGTGTTGGAGGAGCTTTCACGTTAAAATCTTGTGTCCTTTGCTTGTTTTTGATCTTTGAGTGTCATATCTCTACAAAATTAAACTCTCGATTTTATGCTAATAATTTTGGGTCAATACTAGTACTAAGATTCTATTCTGTTTATACGAAAATCAAAAATATTCAAACAAAAAGGAGTTCGTTAGACATTGGTTTTGCATCATTCGAGCACTAGGCTCAAAAGCATGTATTGATATCATCCTCCCTAGCAAGACTTTTTTTAGGTGGAACAGTGGCGCAAAACACCCCACTAGAGAGGAAGGAATGTATGTACTTTCTCCGTTCCAAATTATTTATCGCGTGTATGGATGTATCTATATGTATTTTAGTTCCAAATATATTCATTTTTGTAATAATTTGGAATGAAGGGAGTAGAACTGAAAGAAGAACGAACGGGCGACAAAACTGTTCTTTTAAAATTAAAAAGAAACTTTGAAGAGAAGAGGTTGCCTTTTAACGGCATATCACCGGGGATGACAACGGTGTTGCCAGAGAACTGAGCAAGGTAGGACGAACTTTAATTTCACTTGTCGTGCCCATCCATCAATTCAACCCACAGCCTACTCGCACCCACAGCAACAAGTATCACCGGGGAGTGGTATGATTAACCGAAAAGACGTGGAGATGTCGATCACATTGACCCACTAGTTATCGAGATAAGCCCTCAATCACTTTCAATCTTGTCATCTTTGTGATGTCCCAGCTAAATGGAGTAACCCACAACTGCCTTCTCGCCGTTACTTTTTACGAACAGTAATAGTCGTGGAAGCTTTGAGAAGTTGAAAATTTTGTGGTCAAAGGATGCAATGAAGTCGACTGAGACTTGTTCATACAATCTTACGTGAAGATCCATGCAAATTTTTTATTTTTTATTTTACTTTTTATATGTTGTGCCATCCTCGGAAAATAGGTCTATAAAAGCATCTCTAGCAGACCCCGTATAAGTAGTCAAACCCTTATAATTTTTGCATTTCACAGTTTCAGTTGAAAAAAATGTCCAGAACAGAAACTGTAAATTTGGTCCAACCTGTAAAATTATTAAGGGCCACCGAAAATGCACACCCGAAACTTTTATAGTTGGAGGTTGGAAGGCCGAACCTAGAGGGCCCTGTATACCGGTCAAACCTCGTCGAAGCAACCACGTTGCCGCTGAGTTTGTCGGAATCCGCCATAAACCTGCCGGAATTCATCACCGCACATTGGAAAAGGCCGCTAGATGCCGCAATCGACCACTGTCGGTTCGAATTGGACGAGCTCCGACATCCCCGTGGCCTCCCATGACCTTAGTTTGGCCGCCGGAATCCTCCCGGCGCGGCAGGCAAAGGGGCACGGCTCGGTCGGCCCGGCTGGCAATAGAGCAAGGCGCGGACGGCGGAGGCGACGGGGCGTAGTCAGCGAGGCTGGGCGCGGCCGGCGTGGTGATGGGGCACGGCCGACGGGGTTGGGCGCGGCCGGCGCGGCGCCGGCTGGGTGAAAGGACGACAGCGGTCAGATTGAAGGAAGGAGCTCTTTATCCCAGTTTTACAGTTTATTTTACAGTATCTGTTCGGTGTAGCTAAAATTAACCTTTAAAATGCAATTTTTTTCCATCCGTATCCCAGTTTTATAGTTTGCGATTTTAAGGGGTTTGCTAGAGATGCTCTAAGAAGTAGTATAAAAAACTTTGAAAAAACACCTAGTTGAAAGCTTTTTTTTTTGAGAGATACCGGAATGTCTATTCATCATGAAATTTTGCAGCCACCTAACGCACTAGAGCATCTGCAATGCCAACAACTTTAGTTTGTTTTGGTCCATTTTACTATTTATTTTTGAATATATTACCGTTCACTGGGGGAGACGAGCCTGGACTCAGATCGTGGATTGCCTCATGTTAACCTTTGTTTTAGTTATCTCGTGGTAGTCACATTCAGAACTCCTCCGAACCTAAATATTTTAGGCAATTGCAACGGAAAGTAGGCGAAGAGCAGAGGCAAGTGAAGCAGTGCTGAAAACTCACCTGAAAGTCGTTGTTCGCCAGCATGCCGACGGCGCAGAACGCCGTGGCGGTGAGCCCGATGACGACCTGAATCTCAACGACGAGCGTGTAGGTGAGGGCGGCGGCGCCGGCGCGCGCCGCGTGCCACGCCTGGCTGAGCTCCATGACGGGCAGCACGAGGCCGTAGAGCGCCGCGGCCGCCAGCGCCATGCCGAACCCGGCGGCGTACTGCGCGCCCGACACCCCCGCCGGGCGGTCCCCGCCGGAGCCCATCCCCAGCATGGCGGCGCCGACGCTGAGCAGCACGATGGCGTTGACCGTGGAGCCCGTGAAGCGCTGGCGCACGAGCAGCAGCGCGAAGGCGGCCGTGAAGGCCAGCTGCTTGGAGATGAGGATGGAGGAGGTGGACACCGGGAGGTAGGCCTGGCCGTAGGCGTAGAGGAAGTTGTCGGCGCCGGTCATGAGGCCCACGACGGCGGACGCGGCCAGGAGGCGGGGCGTCATGAGGAAGACGCCGGTGCTAGCCGTGGCGTCGTCGCCCTGGCGGCGGCTCCTGCGGCGGCGGCGGGAGGAGAAGGAGAAGCCGAGCGGCACGAGGAGGAGCGGCCAGCCGGCGGTCTGGAGCAGGCTGGATAGCCACTTGCGGGAGCCGCCGCGCAGGAAGTAGAGGCGGAGGAGGAGCGGGCCGCTGGCCGCGCCGACGGCCAGCAGCAGGAAGTTGACGGCGAGGAGGGGGTCCCGGAGCGGCTTGGCGGCGGCGGCCGGGAGATCGTGCCATCGCCACGCTCTAGCCTCAACCTTGGGCGCGCGGTGCTCGGTCGGGATCTCGACCTCCATCTATGTCTGCAGCGCATGCACTGGCTGCGCGAGAGTTGGCTGGAGGATCGATCGGTGAGACCGATTGGGCTGATGCAGCTGAGCTAGCTCGTCACTGCTCTGAGCGTGTCCTTATCTCGGTGATCCTCCCAGTTTGCCATTTGAGCCTCGTTTTTTGAAGTGTCGAGTCGTTCTCAGCACTGATTGCAGAGGGAAACGGGGACGATGCTTGGAGAGTCAGAACTGTCGGCTGCGTCTACGATCATCTCGGTTGTACGACTTCCACGCCGGATACATAGATGTTGACCGTATTCTTGTCCGCGCTACTGTGCCAAGGAGAGTGGATTTTCCTGCTCCTCAGCTCCATGGCGCCCTGTTTCTGAAAATTCGAAAATTGCATTTTAAAGTTTCAACAGGTCCTGAAAAAACAAATGCACGTAACCATCGAGATGTATACCACATATGTTCATATATTTTTTGTAAAGGAGGCTTACCCCCGGCCTCATCTGAAGCCTGCTAGGAATGGGAGGGACTCAAACAGACTGACACACCAGTCGTATCTGAAAGCGACTGTGCATCGCTGAGCAAAGCTTCTTGGAACAAAAATGATAACAAGCTGGTAGCGCACGAGATTGCTACGTTTTAGCTAGCCGGGTTGTGGTGCATGCAAAATAACAAGTTGGTGGCAGTGATTCATTCGTCACCCTCCATATGGAAAAAAAAATTGGTCCTTTTTTATGTGGTGCTTTCTCCTTTCAAATTAAGTTCCAAATCCTTCCGTCTTCCTCCGGTCGGTTGTTGTATTTGTCCCCGACTGAAGTGTTGTATGATGAGGCAAGCAGAGCTAGATGGTAGGCATTGCGAACTGGGGAGTCCACCTATGGCTAGTGGGTGTAGTTAGGGCAGTAATGCATAAACCAAAAGT